TGGCTAAAACCCACAGTAGGTTTCTGAGGCAACAGTACACAAATGTAGATCCCACATGCGGCGAATGCAAAGCGGCAATCTGTCCATCGCACCGTAACTGCTAATAACAACAAAGTTCCACAAGGCCTATCAGGACGTTCCAGGAAGGAAAATAAAGGGAAAAACCTCCTCCTTCTTTAACAAGCAAGTGTCATACAACCAGTTTCCGGCAAGAGTTGAAATTGAGTGCGAGTGCAGTTAAATGTGAGGTCCAAATGAAATGTAATGGTTCCAAAGGCTGTGGCTTTGATATGACCAGACCTTTGACCAATATAGTTTTTGTTTTCACATAAAGTGTGATAATCTGCACACAGATAAATGAAGCTAGTTACAAGACTTTTTCAATTAGAGGAGATACATTATGCTGTTTTAGTCCCAAATGAAAAACAGGATCAAATCATAATCCAGGCCTTTTGACAGGGGGGAGATTAATAACAATCTACTCCACATTCTATGAAAAAAGTTTTACTTTTTCCATAAAAATCAAAGTGAATTCTGCAATTATTACAATAATGATTTCTTTGACTTTGTGAGCATACAAAGGGTTTATTTGCACTAATATAGGTGGCTAGATAAGTCCCTAAAAGCAATACTTTGAAGACGGGATAAGATCATTCACCCTAAAGGTAAATTAAAATAAAGGCCTACCCTTTGATCGAGGCCTTGTAGGCTAATGACGGGGGGAATCAACTCTGTTCTGATTCGCAACAATGCGCCACAAACAGACTAATTCAGAGCTTTTGAATGGATTGGTCTATACTTGCTCAATTTTCCAAACTCTAAATGACCATCAGCGTGAGAGACATTGCATCAAGTCACTGCTATCCATCATTTTCCACCTACATTGATTTCAGGGGGCAGAGAGGAGTTGCTCGTGTCACGTCTCATTCTCAGGGTCGGCTTGTTGAGATCCCTTTTTAATCCTGGTGCACATAAGTGAATATTTGATTTTAAAAAGCTGTTGTCCACAGCCAGAGTCTGGTGTGCGGTGGGTTGACCCGGCCAGAGTTGATAAAACACCAGTCACTCACTGTAGATGCCACCTACACAAACTATCTAACACAGGAGGTGCTTGTTGCAGCTTTTACTGGATTAAAACTGAGAATGGCTCCTTTTAATCACCAATGATTTGTTGTTTCTTCTTACTTTTGGATTGGAAAATCAAAGGGACCAATTGCAAACTGGTGAAAAAAGTTGGTATTGCCAGTTAGATTAAATTTCCATCTCAGCAAACGACATGAGAAAACCAATAAGACTCTATTTGTTTCTTTGTTTCTGCAGTAAAGTGAACAAGTGACTGTTAATGAGATTTGATGTTAATAACAAAACAGGTTTCAACTTCCCGCTTCTGTGGCACAGAAAATGCAAACATAGGAAGTTAAAGTTGGGCATTGGCACAGACAACAAAACTATACGCACATATAAAATGTCACGACTTTCACATGAAAATGTGAAATGCTCAATGAAAGACACATTTGAGAGACTGATGGTCTAAAACCATCAGTCTCTTTTGGCCAATTTGGTTTGCACTTAAGACTACTGAAGACATGACATGAGCATAGAAAAACATTACTGTCACCCAGTAGTTAGTTGGCATCCCTGTTATTTTCCTGTAAGTTCTTTGAGTCACTGTAAAATAATCTAGATGAATGTCACTGAACACTGACCACAATGCAGATTGGTTAAATGGATTAAATGGAAAATGAAATAATTGCACAAAAACTGCTCCCCAGGAGCTCTACTTGCAGGATTGTATGCAATATAAACAAGTGTTATTTCACTGACATGTAGCTTTGAAAAAGTAACAATGGAATTAATTCATGTATTGAGCCAGGTGAGAATAAAAAGTAACCAATCCGAGCAGTTATCTTGAAAACATTCACCTGGCTCATCAAGTTGGCTTTCCTGCCTGAATGCCTTTTTTGAAGGTGATAAAAGCCCCTTTCTAATATATCAATATAGATTTATTGAGCAGAAAGATAAACAACTTGGAGATTTCAATATGTTCCAGTTGACAGATCTTGTATGGACTCATTTTTTCTCATTTTGCGACCGTCGAACATGTCCTGGCCCTGCCGACAATTCGGATGCTGAAATGGCTGAAAGTGTTTAAATGCAGGCACTAACCCCCCAAAAAGCCCAAACCCATTTTTCCCTAAAGAGAAATTATACGGAATACAAAACTGACTAAATGAACCCCATTTATCATATTTAAAAACAAAAAAATTCAGGTACCACCACAAAATGATCCATAATCTGTGATTTCCAGAAGTTCCATCTGGCCATTTTTAATAAATGTATTTTAGTTTATGGTTTGATATGTCCCCCCCCTCGTTTCTATACTTAAGTCTCTTGTGTTGAAAACCAGCAGGATCCAACATCACTAGAGAGATTCTACTTTTTTTTATCATCCTTACTATCATTGTTGAGTATCACTAAACTGTTGTCATTCACCTGATGAAATCAGAAAATCAGCAATAGCTTGTCGTGGTCTGTAAGTCATTCGGATTGGCTATTAAAAAGGAGCTGTCCATTACATGTGATTAATGTCAGTCATAGATCCCGAACAAAAAGAATTTCGACCGTTTCTCAGTAACATATGCATTGGCCTGCGTTGGCCTTGTGCTGAAACAGCAAAGGATTGTGGGTATTCAACCTGTGCAAACGTACCCTGGCTGCGGACCCAGCACACAAATCCTTCTTCAGTGTCAGTGAATAACTGAGCCACACAGAGCATTTATCCTGGTCTAGTGTCTGCATTGGTTTGCTGGTTCAATCCCAGAATTTCCCCAATCTGCTTCAGTAAATGGTAAAAAAATAAAAATAAACGAACCCTGTCTAACTGCTGTGTGGGGAGCTAATAACTCTTAACCAACAGCTCATGTTGGACCTATCTCGTAACATTTTTATTAATACCTCTTTAATAACAATTGGAAGATGGAAGTGTCAGATTTTTTATTTAGTTATTAAAATATTGTCTCTTGGCAATACTTCACACGACTCCCCACACAGGAAGTTTACTTGATTAAATGTTGAATTGCCAATCAACTAGGAAAAAAACTAAGTGGACTTTTTAACCTCTACGACCGTGCATAAATATTGTGGCGTGGTGAACTGACTCCTAAACACGTGTCAGTTGAGTACACCAGTGTGCTCTAACTGACAATTTTATAATTATTTATGAAAAAGATCACACGTTATTTTACTGCAACTTATAGTGCAGAACTGATTTAAGGATTTCCCTCTGAAAGTGACTGCGTAACAGGTGGTGCAGACATTCTTTCTCAAAACCCTGAGAAGAGACACCTGAAAGAGACATTTAAGATTCAACCTCAGACCAGAACTCCGATCTTTGATGACCATCACTTCATCGGTATCCCAGCAGAGAATTAAGATGAAAAACTGAACCCAAAGCTGTTGCTTTCAAGCCCCCAAAGCAAATTATGAATGTGGCCATGTGAGCGTTCAGTTAAAGCTGGATAATTCCCTTACCTATGGATGTATTTGGTTTTTATGTTTGCTTTTTTTTACAGAAAAGCTGTGAGTGTGTGCTCTTAATCGTCAGCGCAGGAACGGCCATCCGCTTAAGACATGCCCAAGCCACTGCCTGAGGATTTGATTTGGAATGAAAAAGGGGGAAAATTAGGTCAGCACCTTGTTCAAATGCAGGGCTGGGAGAAATCACTGACTCGTCACCTGCTAAGCTTTGGCCATTTGCACCGTTTGACACTTTTTTGACACATGCGTAAAAATCCAGTGAAAATGTGAGTCTGGCTTCCTTTCAGGGACCTGGTAAGGATGACACAGCTCTGGATAAATGTGTAACAACCCCTTATTGCCTGGAATCTGGACGGCCAAAGTTCAGCAAACCCACAGGTTAAAGTGCGAAAAGGAGGCCGTGTGGGATAACAACTCCAATGGGTCTTCTGATTCATTTAAACCCATAATTCATATGAGCTGTACAACTCTTTACAGTGTTTACACAGTGATCACATATTTTTCACAACGGAGTTGTGTTTGTTCTGCCTGGATTCAACCTGAATGACCGCAATAGGAGTTTTAAAATGCACCATACAGGTCATACTTCTATTGTGTCCAGTAACACGCTCCTGGGAATAGTTGTGAAAAAAATAGAAAACCAACAACACACCGGCACAAACACCTCATGGCCAGGCTTGACCAACCGACAGACCGAAGACCTTCCCCCTTTCGGGAATTTGGTTGAACTAAATATGCAAACCGGGCGCAATCAATCCATTAACACTTACTCTGCAGTAGTTAGCTTAGGTTGTAACGCTAAACGGCCCAATGTTAGGGACCCAAAGGAAAGTTAGCAAATGTTCAAAGCGACACAGGGGGTTCTTTCAAAGCTAATTCCAACCTGTCAACTTGCCGTTTCTCGTTAGACTACAGCAGACACACAAACGACGCTTTCTGAGCTATGAAAAGAACGCCACGCCAAATCATTGCCCAACGGTCGGTACATTTAACTTGACCTTGCATTTAAGTAAACAAACACACCTAAAAAAAACTCCCCATGGCACCGATTCTATGTATCAAGAAACAAAATTCAATTCGGGTAAATCACAATTGAGACTAAACATATTCAAATGGGATTTAATAAGCCTCTAATTTCAAGAATACGTTTTTTAGAGCAGCCCAGTGTAATATATTTTGAGGGTAGACGACTGCGGAAAACCGAGCATTAGCAATTGAAAACTTAAAAATAAAGGGATGTTTTTACGCTGAATCTACGCCGACTGCTACTATTGAACACAGCAGTTCAGTCGAAATCACATGCCCGTGGTCATTAAGCGTCTATCCGATAAATCAAGACAGTCCACTTAAACCGCTAGATTATGCCGGGTGGTCAGGACCCTCTCTTTTGTACCTAGCTAGCCTAAAACCAGACAGTTAGCTTAGCTAACGCAACGCAACTGGCCTCTTGACTTTCGGCTTACCTCTTTTGACAGCCTCGTCATACGACAGGAATCCTATCCTCGACTCTTTGGCCCCCATGCTCCCTTCATTTCATTGCGATTTGAGGAAAAAAACGTTACCAATCGAGTTGATCAGAGGCGCTTATTGCCCTTATCCGTTTGTTGTGAAATGGGTTCCTGGCGGTGTGTGTGTGCGGTGAACGGGTGAATGTTTTCAGCAACGCCTCCATTCTGTCACATGATCTCACTTTACAAGTCAGTTGATCAGTGCCTGGAAATTCTTGTAAACGGAACCCACATTAATTTATAGTAATGTTCTGTTTTTTCCCCTGGGGATTTAAAAAAATGTCCTGGCTCTGATCTGGTAATAAATTCTGCAAAACATAAATGTAGACACTCTTCAGGCTAATGTAAAAACGTAAGTACGTTCTAACGTCAGCTGCAAAATAACTACAGTGTTAAGAAATGCAAGTGGCTCCACCTGGCGGATCGTTAAAAATAAAGTTTGTAATGCTTGTGTTCGCACCACAGCGCCATCTAGCGGTCCATGTTAAACACTTGCTGGCAGTCAACTCAATAAACGTCATATCCCACCTGAGCGACAGTGATGTTGCGAATTGTTTTCACGAGTCACTGGCGAAGTACTTAAATTAATCTGGTGGCAGCCCGTCACCAAATGTCAACATATAAATCAGTAACAATTTATATTCGGGAGTTTATGCGACAGAGATAACGTCAAGTAAAGCGTGCTCCAGCCAGGTAGGATGATGCTGCGCTTGCGACAGTTTCGTCGTGATACGTCAGCGTAAGAGCTTCATAAGCGCGCACCCTGCTTCACGCGCGTCACATTACTATGTGTAAACGGCTCCGAAAACATTCACGTGAGCACAACATAACAACAACGAGACGTTACTTTGAGACACAAGCACAGCGTTTATTCCGGTAGCTAGGTCGAGTTTTGCGTTTGAGTAAGGGACGGTTAATATATTTTGGCACCGCATGAACAGGCTGATTCTTTCTGGACCCTTCGCTCATCTTGGCCGGAGATGGGAGTTCTGCTGTACTGGCCGAATATTATAGGTGAGGAAACACCAGCGAATACAATAATATAATCATTAAACTATAATATACATAGTTGATACTGTGTAGATATTGCAAAGTAATGCTGTGAGCTCAGTTGGCTTTTCCACAATGAGTCCCGCAAACTTTAATTAGCGTGTTAGCTAATTTGAACAAATTTATACCTTTAAGCTAAAAAGTTGAACTGTGGCATCTAAAATACCTTTTAGGGAATTTAATGAAGATGAGTCTGATAGTTAAGTCAATTTGTCTAATGAAATGAGAAAATAATGTGTATCTTTCAGGATACATCAGGATTAGCCTTGTGTTTGCAGCATGGGCTGTTTATGAGAGGCCAGCATTGTTTGTCCCTCTGTACTCCGTCTTCGCAGCCCTTGATGGTAAGATTAGACATTCACTTCCTTGTTTAGACTTAAAAATTAGGATTTGAATGTTTTAGAATTGCTGTAGCATACCTCATATTGCTGAAAAATTAAATTCTTTTAAACCATCCTTCTATAACACCTGTAATATTGCTTTCATCCTTGATTTGATTGATTTTTGCATTTTTAATGTGACAACCTTAAAGGATATGGATATACATTTTTTTAAAATATACTTACATGTAAGAGAAATCTTATTATGTGGCCTAATTTTCTAGAGCAGATGTATACATTTTATTTAAACAATAGAAAAGTGGCTACAGTGAGCTTACAAACAACAAATGCCTTGTTTCCCGAGTGCAGGATTGGATGGCTGGTTGGCGAGGAAATTTGGTCAGACCTCCAGATTTGGGGCGTGGATGGACGTAGTGGTGGACAACCTGGGCAGAAGCATGCTGTGGAATCAGCTGTTTGAGGTCTGACAGTTGAGACATATTTTACACATACATCTAAACATATGCTGTCTTTTTATATGTTTTTATGGTGACGGAAGTACTCGGAATCTTTATCAAAACATGAAATTTACATGTTGAAAATGTTCAATTAGATGGAACATTTCTGCATTTAAAATCCAACATAAATCCAAAGTACAAAACTAGTTGGTATGTAACATTTTTGAACTGCTCAAATTGACGCATAAGTAGCCACCATGAGATGGGCCAAAAACTTATCGAAAAGCCATCCAAATTCAACTTATTGGGCTGCCACTCGGCTCTAACAAAATCCATTTTTGTAACTGCTGTGTCTTTGACCAAAGACAGCTATTGAGTGATTTTGAGACCATGTCTGAGGAGGCACTTGAGCAAATTTGAATTAAATGAAGCCAAAATCCTTTTTTAGAAAAAAAAAAAATCAAATCTACATCTATTTCAGTCTCAGTTAAGCTACAAATGTAGCTCAACTCCACTGTGCACCTACCCATCCTGAATAAAAGCTGACCTTGTGTGTTGTGTTTCAGTGGGGCTGGCTGGTTTCCTCACTGGAGTGGTGTGTGTTTGTGTGTAACCACAACACCAGAGGTGACCAGTGGAAGCACAGCTTCGCCGGCAGTCCTCGCCTCATACGGGCCATCATGGCAAACGGTAAACCATCTTCAAGCTCTAATGGAAGGCATTGGATGTATTTTATTCTGAAAAAGTCTCTGTGCTGTTAGGGTTTCAGACCCCTCTTGGCGTGTGGGTGGTGAGCGGGCTGCACGTCCTCCCCGTGTGGATGTATTTATCTCAGAGGGGTCTCCTGTCCAGCTGGTTGGATTGGCCTCTTTTGATCCAGGTTACGGGGACACTGCTGCTGGTTGTGGGGCGCCTGTTTGCGTTGGCAGCTGAGGTAAGTTGGAGCTTCTTAAAAAAAACAAACAACAAAAATATAATTGACATGACCTAGGTTTCATCGAAATTCTTCCTACTCATAAACGCGTTCCGTCTCGTTTCTTTGCAGATGTGGTGTATATGGACACATGTTACATACCTCATCTGCGATGAGCCTGTCGAGAAAAAGAACTGATTTAAAAAATGTTTTTTTTACCATTTCATAGTTTTGCTTGGGGCGCTTCTGCAGATGTGTTACATTGATACAGCTACTGTCAGTTGAAGGGAACATGTAGCTTTTTTAGCTTCAGGAAAGACGTTTTTGCACAGCACTGTTAGGAGACTGGAACATTGAATACAAATTTCCAGTAGAGAGCCGGTCTATTCCAGAGTAAATAATATAACCTACTAAAGTGAAAGCTTTATGGTGAAGTACAGTAGAAAATGCCACACATAAATCTTGTTAAGAGGTTTTAGCTGTACGCAACATCAAAATATTTTAAAGGTGACAATGCATTTTGTTCAGTTAGCTATCGTATTTAAGTCTGATGTACCAGACACGTCAATAAAAAATTTATTTTTCAAGCCTACTTGTATGTGTGGTTAGACTCTCTTGAAGGGGTGCATTTGTCTTTATTTTTGTGGAAGATGCCTGTTCTTATTAGAGTCAATGTTATGCATAGGTTTAGAGTAGCTTTAACTATTTATTTTATTCTTTTTGTATAGTGACAGAATACAAGAAACGCAGCTTTAACCACTAACATCTTTCAAAACCCTGATGTTTTGCTTTCACCGAAAAGTAAGCATTAGTTTGTAACTGACGGATTATAAATTGAACTCTGCACACATGAACCTCAAATTGAATCCCCAGATAAGTTATATTTAAAAAAAAAATCAGCTCAAAGTTTTTTTATTGTGGCTGATTGAGATGGAGGTGGTTTAATTGTAGGGGGAATAATGGTGATGAGCAATTTCACCCTCTCAAAGGCAGTCTTGCAAATTTCCCTTTTTAATAAATTATCAAGTTTACCTGCAAAAACTCAATAGTTTGAGAGCTGCAAGCGATTTACCTAAATTATTTGGTCTTACCTTCTGTCCATATGAAATAAAGCTTTAAGCATTTATATATATAACGTCCATCACAAGTTTTAAAAGCAAATCTTAATTGCATGTAAAAATGACATCTCTGGTATCTATTCAGTGGCGTAAAATGAATAAGATTTGCTTTTAAAATGAGTGATGTACAAATGAAAACGCTTCTTAGTTCAAGTGTGAACACAAAGAAGAACCATTCATGGTGGTCAATGGCAATAACATTTTTAATGGTTTTGCATCTAACAGTGAAGCAGGAAGAGGAAAACATCCCATCGTTGGATTTGGTGTCCATCGTCTCATCGAATTGAGAAGCGAAAAAAGCAGGCGTGCTGGAGGTATCACAGCTTTACTTCCATTTCATCCAGTCTTCAAAAACCCAACAGCACCACCACACTTAGTCCCTTTCGGATTCCATTAGATCACAGCCAGGGGGTCGTCCTTTACCCTCCACCAGTAGGCTGCTTTCTCTCAGTCATTGTTAATAGCAGAAAAAACAAACGGGGCCAAACAGGAGAAACGGAAATCGACACGTCACTTTTAATTTTGACAAACTACTTCACGTGACGATATATATATAATTTTTTTTTTTAAACTTTGAGAGATGGCAGAAAGAAAATCCAAACAAGATGCAAAAAAAAAAAAAACTTGTGTTTGGCCTCTCTGGCCCAGAATGTCATCAATTAAATCAGCATGTGATCTTTGACTGGAGACACATTCAAATAAGGAGCAGGAGGAGCCAGAGTCCCCTCCCAAAACCCATTAAACATTTGTATGCCCCAGAATTGGTGGGCGCTTGTTTCAAAGTATTCCAAGTCTTGAAGATCAGCCTTTTAGGGGGGGAGAGGGAATAGGCTGGGTCTGTACCCTTCAAGTACGGCGATAAGTATCACAGCACCACTGAAGGCAAAGCGCATTTCCTTCAGCCGCGTGGAGACAAATCAGTGGGGCATTCATTCAAGGCTTCACATTGTCAGCAATGCAACACATTTGATTGCACACAATGGCTTGGATTGTACTGCTCAAAATCTCATCGTGTATTTCCCTACAAAGCTATAGCTGTTATGCTCACGTCAGTTTAAAAAACAACAACTAATGTTTCAACTTTTTGCCACTGACAGCAAAAACGGGACCCGACTTACCTCAAATACAGTTTAACCATAATCGATGCGTCGGCATCCACTTCTCTATCCAATGAAAGCAGTTCGAATTGAATTTCAACCCTAAAAATGACATGTTATGTTTAAACGAAACTCGGGCTTCGGAATTTGTTTGAGGATGAAACGATAGATAAGTCGGTATGTTCTTTTAAAACATAAAAACTCATCTGAATATTCTCTGTAGCATCAAAGAATTCTCGTTGCTTTACATTTTGGGTTTAATATTTTTTTATAGTGTCAAACAGATATTGTATTTCTACATAAGTTTGCCAATAAATCACAGGACATTTTTAGTGTCACCATTACACAGTCTGAAGAGTTAATACTGAAAAGCTGAGAAAAAAAAAAAAAGAGATCCTATTTTCTGTTCTCAATCAGAACCAACCAAATATCACAGATCTTTTTTGTAGTTTATTTTAAATATGTGCTCTTACATATATATATATATATTAAAAAAAGGGAGTACTGAGAGTAAATAGTTTAAAATTTCAAATAAAAAGCCTTTAAAATATGACCGCCGGTAACTAGCAAATGGAGCTGAGAGAAAGGCAATCAGTAACTTTAGTAACTAAAAGACACTGATCTCTTAAAAGCTCTGCAGGTAGACCACCAGTTGTCCCAGATTAGTGAGATGGACAAAAGTCCAAAATGATTTTATCTTTAAAAAAAAAGAAGAAAAAAAAGTCATGCCATGGTCAGCTAAATGTCCCTGTTCACCACCGATGCCGGCACGCCAAAGCCGTCCGGCTCGTTAGGGAAAAGACAGATGAGATTTTGGACAGCACCGTGATGGAGGCTGATGGTCCAGTTTAAGACAGAGGAAGAGAGGGAAAAACTAAATGACAAAACATTGTTTTATTGGGATCTCTGACAGGATGCAGGGAAGAGGAAACCGATGTACAAGTTCGTAGGCTTGCAAAACGCATACTCATACTCACAATTTTGGTCCCCGCTGCAGTGCCCTTAAGAGTCGAATAATTCGTGAAGCACTTCTAAGTACGGGTCTGTCTACAGACAGATAACTGCAAGCTGGTGTAAGGCTGGTTGTTGTCAGTGGAGCACTTGGGCACCAAGAGTTCAATCTATTTACCGACGCTCGCTCTCACTCGCACTCTTTTTCTCCAAACACACACACACACACACACACACACACACACACACACACACGAAGCCCTGCCCTAAACATGTAAAAGGAGGCCTCTGAACCTATGTACATGTAGCGCCATCCTCTTTGCACTCCTGTCCAGTTCCCTTAATGTGGCTCACTCAGAAAGAAAGCAAAAAACAAAGGGCTACTGGAACACATACGTCTGCATATTAGTTATTGGCATTGGAATTCTGCTATGTCAGTACTTTGCTGGACCAAAAAAAAAAAAAAAATCAAATTAATTGGAAAAGGATCTACTAAGCCTGTTATGTGTGTAACGACATACCCACAGATTTGATACATTCCTTTGTTGGTAATCTCACTCCAACAAGCACTTCAAAGAAAGAGTTCAACGACGTCTTCTTAGATTCCACTTTCAATTCTTCTAGCAAACGAAAAGAAAAAAAGTTTCGAGTGAAACAAACTGTACAATCTGCTGTACCGCTGAACTTCACGAGTGTCAAAAAAATATCCAACTGTTTCCTCTGATGGAGGGGTCTGGGTCGATGCAAGTATTTCACAGATCCGTATACTGTCGCACGCTCCCGAGAGAACACAGTTTGGTTCTGTGAGGAGTCCCATGGCATTCAGAGCTATACCAGTTCAAATACAAAAAGAAAACAAAAAAAAAAAAAGAAGGAAAGAAAAACCGGTGTGTGGAACAAGAGAAAGAGGTCAGGGGGCATGTCTGAAAGGATGTCTGAGGCTTTGTATCCCCTTTGTTTTGAGCATTTCCTCTTTCTCTTGAATGATGAAGACAGAGTGCAGCGGTTTGTTCCGTCGGGCTGCTTCTTGGTGCCGTGTGAGTGAGCCGATGAGGTTTAACAACAGTGTCTTCTCTACTTTTTTTCTTCTTTTCCATTTTAAATCACTATGTGTGTGAGCCTGTGTGTGAGTGTACTGACAGCTACAGAGACTACAAAGCCAACCGACCAGCCGGTGATGGCTGAATTTACTGTATATGACTATGTGTGTGCAACTGGAGCATCACATTTGGGTTTTCTTCTCACCAGACTTTAAAAAAAAAAAAAAAAAAAAAAAAACTTGGCCTTTTACTCTTTTCCCCTCATGAAGAGAAACTGGAATAAAAGGATTCAGCCGAGACAGGGGCGGGTGGGGCCGAGGCTCTGTGCCAGTAGGAAGGCTTTGACCACCTCCTGGGTCTGCTGGGGGGTTGTGTTGACATCTTCCAGGGCGTCTGCCACGGCAAACTGCCGATCTCTCAGCCGGTTCCAGTTGGACAGTACATTGTGATATTCAAACACCTTCTCGTAGTTTCCCACCGAGTTGTAAAGCTTGATCAGGCCTCGGTAGTCGTACTCCAACCCGCTGTAACCCTCCCCGAACAGCTTCTTACCTAAAAGGGAATACATATGCACTCAGATTACTATAATGGCCAGCAATTACTGTACTTCCTTAAAGTGGACAGACGATATTTTTCTTCCCAGACGACCACGTGCAAACTTTAGCTTAAAACTTTTTACGCCAAGTCGTTTATAGCTGGCCATCAGTTTACTTAATCACCAGTGTCTCATAGAGGGAAGGTTTTAGTTAGTGTACAGTGATCCCTCGCCACTTCGCGGTTCACTTATCGCGGATTCGCTATTTCGCGGATTTTCATAATGCTTTTTTTTTTTTGGTGCATTGTGCTCTGCATTCTGATTCGCTAAAAACTCACTCCCGCTTCTTGTATCAAAACATAGGACTAACGCTTGGTCGCTTAGCAACCATGGTGCGAATGGCCACTGAACTTAAGCGAGTAGCTGAGGAATGGGACCCTTTGATGAGCCGTTCATTACAGTTCTCCAACGTAATCGATGGTGGCATGTCGGTGTACAAGGATCTTTTTGCAAAGAAGAAAAAAGAGCGACACTGTATTTGTATACATGTAATAGTTGCTAATTGTAAATTAAAAAAAAAGTTTTCTATTTCGCGGATTTCACTTATCGCGGGTCATTTTCGGAACGTAACCCCCGCGATAAACGAGGGATTACTGTATTCCCAAACTAAATATTTCTGGTGTCCAAACCTTTCTTAAGTCAATAAACAGTGCATTTCTATTATGAATAAACATTTAGCTGCAATAAATATGTCAGTTCTGAATCAGTTCGGTCTAAATCAATCGTCCGAGATGAAGAATGGGAACCCCAGGTAACACAGACCATCCTATCCAAACTGAGGCGGCTTTTTGCCATCAAGTTAACCTGTGGTAAAACACTGAACACCAGTTTATTGATGTTGTCCTCCCACTGACCGATAGCGATGGAGCGCAGGTAGAGCCTCTCTGCATCCTCGTATTGGTTCATGTCGTAGTTGTATAGAGACGCCAGGTGCCCCACGGACAGGGCCACCTCGTAGTCCTCGTGGCCCAGTAGCTGCTCCTTGATCTGGATGGCTTTGATGTGCATCTCCTCGGCCTCCTGGTTCCAGTTGTACAAATATAAACACAGGCACAAAAAAAAAAAATTGTAAAAAAGAGCTGATTTTTTTTTGCACCAGAGTAAAGGTGACTATTGCTTCACTAGTTATTGCTAAAACATTTTAAAAATAAAAACAGTTGTTCTCACGGAGGGAAATTTTTAGTCATCTACCTCTTGCAAACACACCAAAAAGGACTTATTTGTAAATAAACATAGAAAGTATTTAAAAGTTTTAGCATCATTTCTCTTTCTTTTTTGCAATGGATGAGCCATTACTGGGATAAGCAGAAATCATACACTCTCATACACAAGCTCGCTCATAAATCCTCCTTTGTTTACCTTAAATTTCCTCATTGACTGGTAAAGTCGCCCGAGGTTTCCGTAGTGTTTGGCTGTCTGTACGTTGAATTCCCCAAAGGCCTTCTTGGCCAGCTGCAGAGAGGAGAGGTGCAGGTCATGAGCCTCCTGCAGGAGACGCTCTTCTGTTTCCTTATTGTGGCAGTCGATGGCGATTTCTTCTAGGATAAGGGCTGATGGACAAAGATTGTGCTTTAACAAAACATTTTTTCAAAAACCATCTCAATCTATCCTTTTTCTTTTGTGTATTTTTTTTATTTTATTTTCACCAACAGATTGAGCAGAAACCCTACAGATACACAATCTGTCTTACCTTTGACTCTCTTTGAGGAGGCCAGAAGGAGATGGTCCTCAGGCAGAATATGAGTTATTATGTCGATGGCACGTTCTGCGTGGAATCTGAGGGACAAACACAGACTCTTTTGTCACGTGACCAAAACCAAGTTCCATTCTAATAAACACTTCCAAGAATATCAAATGTCTTTCTTGAAAAAAAAAAAAAAAGGAAAAAGAAAAAAAAGCTTTGTTTTTTTTGGAACAAATGTGAGTCAGAGTAACAGAGGTCACTAGATAACCCAATTCAGCGCATGTGAATACAGAGAAATGAAGAAGATAAACTAAAGTGAAATTTAATGATCTATTTTATGTATACAATAGGAATCGAATGAAGAGATGTGAATTATTGCCTGCTCCTGTGCCTCATCTACAAGGAGCTTATGTGAAACTGGCCATGGAGGCTTAATGAATTCTAAAAGATTTACGGACTCACAGAGCATTGTCAAATTTCCCAGAGCTATACTGGTGGACATATGATGAGTATGCCAGGTCTTCGTGGGCTGTGGCGACGTGGATGTTCTTTCCCCCAAACACAGACTGCCTGATGTCCAGAGCCGTCTACATTACACACAAAAGGAAAAAGGGATTAGATGTTGAAAGTGGCATGTTGAAAGTTGGAATACACAACAGCCTGGGAAGACCTGAGCAAAACTTACCTGATAAATAGCAACTGATTGGCATATGTTGTCTACATTTAATAAGTAAAATCCGTAATCTAGCAGCGTATCGGAGTATTTAGGGTGCTTGTGTCCAAAATGTTCTCTGCAAGACACAACATACGGACGAAATCAGAGTTCAAGGCAGCTCCAAGAATTACATTTAGGCTTTAATAAAAATTGTAAAAAAGGAAAAAGAGACACAGCAGGTTACCTTGCTAGAAACACTGCATGTTTAATCAGCTGTTCTGCTTTCCTGAACTCCCTCTTCACAACACAGGCCTGCGGTGAAGAGACAAACAAAAAGTGAGCGGTTAGGTCTGAATATGTGTGTCCGAGCATCTGAGGCTGAAACAACTCCTCAGTCTGCTCCGATCGGCTGTACTGTGACCTGCGGCCACTCTTCAGCCGGAAATCCAGCTGAACTTTACCTTGGAGGCTTGTCGGAGAACATCAACGATGACTTTTACAGGCAGCCCCGGGGTAATTTCCTTCATAGCCTCTATACACCACCTATATGCCTGTGAGTGGGTAAGACATTGATAAAACTTTACACCTCTGCTCAAAACAACAAAAAACATAGGTCAAAGTAAAGGAGTCAAAATGGGTTTGACGCGCATACCTCGTCGTAGTGGCTTTTGGCAAAGAGCAAGGCACAGAGCTCGCCGTACAGCGCTGCCTTGTTGGCCTGGTGGCCATGTTTGGCTAGTTTGTCCATGTAAGACTGAGCAAGCTTGAAGGTTTCCTCCCCTAGGTGGTACTTGCAGTTGCCGTTGCGGACATGGAGCAACCTGAAACGAGGAGGGAGGAATTAGACAAAAGCCTCACTATTTTGTGTAAGTTTAAGAACAACTTTTCAGTTATTTGTTTTTAACAGTCTTTAAGACAGAATTAGAACATGGACAGATCCAAAATATTCCGATCAAATCCTGTCTTTTTTGTTTTTTATTATATGAACAAGCTTTAGGAACAATATGGGAGATTAAGAAGATAAACACAACATCCCCAAGTTAGGAGTGAAAATAGGTATATGAGCAACAGTATATTATATGTGTATAATTTGGGACCCAGGGTGAGAGAAATGGAAGAACAAAACAAAAAATGAAACCACATACCGACACTCGCACACATAAAACACAAACCGGGAGATTAATACCGCACCTCTACAGAATCTGTCCGCACACACTTTACATATCCAACCCACTAATAAAAATATTTTTCTTAAGATGGAGAGAGAGATTGCTTCCATTATATGAATTATTTTTCATTTAGTAACCATGTATTGAATGTGCAGATTATGCTGCAAACCTTAACACAGCAGCTGCTTTTCGTACAACAAAAATAGTTTTTGCTGTCATTTAAAAAACAAAAAACAAAACATGCAACATGTAATGTTAGAATGAATTCTTACTAAACATCCTAAATGTGTGAAAGCTTTTTTCAATTGATGACATTTGCCAGGAATCAAAACTCACACCACAGAGATGGCAAAAAGATGACTGTAAACCAAGTTGTCCTGATCAGTATAGTCACAGAGGTTTTTTTTTCTCGTTTTTTCTTTCAACCTACCTAACGCAACATTCCACAGCCCGGAAACAGTGGAGCACCTCACTGTGGAGCGTGCACAGCTGCAGGCACGACAGAAATACCTTCTCTGCATCTCCATACCAGCCAGCATCAGACAAAAAGCCACCTGGGAAAAAAAAAACAAGTCAATAAGATTAGCGCCATATAGGATGCTTTTCTCTCTTGGCAGCATGGCAATTGAAACAAAAAGAAATTAAAATTTAAGGGGATGGGAGATGAGCTTCAACTAATCCAGAGATTATTACAAGGAATAGGTGGTAACAGTTTTTTTTTCATTCTTTTAAAAATATGGGAATCCCTTAACATAAGTAAACACTCAGGTTGAACACAATCAACTCCACTGCTACAAGATTCACACTAAAGATGGAACAAAACAATATTCTCTCTGGAGATAACCAGATTGTGAAATTCTTGGCCGATGATAGAGGCCGTTTTTGTCATTTATTTTCTTTTTGATGCCAGGGACGCAAAACGTGCACAATGAAAAAGTAACAGGCGGTTTCGAGTCTTTGATCAAGTGCAGGTTTTTCATGCCAATTTGTTAAACCTTTCGCACAAAAAGATCTGTTCCTGTTTTTAAACAAACTATTAAACCATGGCCAACTCAACCCATTGCAGCGTTTACATAACCCCTGAACTTTTTCTTGCCCAACAAACTCCCAGGATACCGACAGCTCAGATAAAAACTAACAGCGGGGACAGCAATAAGTGAGGAAAGTGAACTCATGTCGCCATGTTGGGATCAAATTTGTTTTCAATGACTTGTATTCTTTCTGCCAACAAGACCCACACTTTTGTTAGGTCAACTTACATAGAATTCTGAAGCCTTGTGTAATCATGAGACATTTAAAAAAAAAAAAAAAAAGAAGAAAAAAACACTTGTTTTTCTAGACGGGAAAGCTAAATTGATTTTGAACTGTTGCGTTAGCCCGAACCGCTTCTAGAATGTCAGCTATTCAGCAGTGATCCCAACGCTGAAGAGCCGTTTCCAAAAAAAACATAACGGGTCATAGAAAAATAAATAAATAATCAGCTCCAAAAGCGATATGATGAACTGGTCCTGGTGTATATAAAACTCCAGGGCAATCAGAATAGAACAGTCAGTGTGACTGTGTGTAAAACATCCATCTCTGAGAGTCTTACCCAGCACGAAGCCAAACTGGATGGCCTTCTCTTTGACATGGGCGTCCGACTCGGCGATGTAGGAGCAGCGGCGGCTGAAGGAGTTTGCTAGAACTGAGGCCACTTTTACGCCATGGTCCATCAGGGCCTGGAAACAGTGATGCAGCAGATGCCTATAGTGGGGGGGGAAGAGCAGGAAACGACAGCAGCAGCGGTTAGTAAAGATTTTGGATGCAGAATTTCATACGACTACAGGTCGTACACATCCGTGTTGGACAAATAATCATGTTTATGATAGTTAAAGTTATGCATAATAATGATAATTTCTACTAAAAAAGGGCTGGAACAGAGTGGTAGATTCTCCAAACTACTTGGAAAACTGGAGTGCGTGTAGTCATGGGACGGCTCATATTAGCCCATCAAACCCTTATTGCTGGTGGAGGGCAGCAAGTGGACGTTTACTGAAAATTAATTCATTTTGAACTCAATAATTTTTTACTGTTAAACTAAAACATTGGAGCCCCGATATCCATCGGACACCATCGTTTCCTGTCTCCAGCCCAAAATAGGCTATTTGCATTTTAAATAGAGTATTTTCAGGGTTGTTCTACCCATTAATTGTCAAAATTGTTACTCAAACATTAAAGGCTGAAGATTTTGTAACTTTTGAGAGCAATGAAAGCTCATTTGGAGGTTATTAATGCATCTTTCATTTACAGCCCACGGCTCTTTTCCCTGAAACTTGCCCGCATCTCTGTCGAGACAAATGTGAGAACAACAGCCAGTTCAAATGCCTGAAATTGGCTTGGTTTTAAAAGCTGTGGAAACAGGGGTTCTGTTCAGTTTTAGCTGTGTATGTTTAGCTAGCTAAAAAGGAAAGATTTGGTCCGGTACACGTTTGTTCAACTAGCAGTATGTGATTCAATAGCAGTATTAATCCCATTTAAATAAATCAAACGTTTAACAATAAAAACTACAATAGCTTTAGTAATAACTTGGTAATTATATTCAGCTCTACAAATGTACATCAGCATTGACTGCCCTTTACAACCTGATGAAAACTAGTATGTAAAATAACTGATGGGCTTATCTGGGAGGTGTACGACACGAGCATCCGCATTACTTTTACCTTTTATCCGAGGCCCGAAGCACTTTAGCAAACACCTCCAGCTCACAGAACTCCCCTCCCAGCTGGCAGAGCCGGCCCTGCTGGTAAAGCTGGGACAACAAACACACAAAAAAGGAAGAAACAAAAGAAGTGAGCATGGAAAGCTTAAAAAAATTAAATTAAAATAAAAAGCCCAAATGAAGCTCAGTCTCTGCATAAAGACTGACTTGGTTGATGTTTACATATTTGGAGCAGAGTACCATCAGATCAACCCACAAAGGGTCTGATCTGTTACTTCACAAGACGTTCTGGCCTATTTGGATACGTTTCCAATGATGCTTTTGAAACACTACCATTTTTAGCTTACAAAGAAAAGAAGATATTCAGCTTGCCAGAAGAAAAACAAAAAAAAACAAAAACACTGTCCAAGCTGGACGTAGTTATACAATTGAAGGCACAGCCTTAAAAAATTCACTCCACAAGGAAAAAAACAAAACAAAAACCTAGTATACAATCACTGTTCGCTAATCTTCCCCCGCTTTCATTCATGCTGGTGTCTGAAAATGTTGGACAAAACCACCTTTTGTGCAAGATGATTGCCTTTTGAGTGATTCTGGGTAACATGTTATATCACCATAATGACAGATGTCGGTGTGCTGAGCACAGTGGAAAACATCTTAAATATCTATTTTCTATATGTTTATGGGTCTTGTACAAAAATCTTTATGGATTAAGGCTTATTGTTATTGCGTGGTTGTAATAACTCGAGCAAAACAAGCATTTCATTAAGACGGGATCTGTGAAAAATCATCGCCGTTTGTCAGAAGAGAAGCTGCAGCAGCACATCCGCACAAACAAAAAGCTACAGCCCCTCATTACAGGTTATTCTACCCTACCGATTCAGCAGCTCGGGGGTGAAGCACATGTGAATGGCAGAAGTTCAAAACTGCAACATATAATCACAGTACGAGTAAAATAAAGGAAAGCCTGAATGGTATTCATTCAACAGCGATGTGCGTTTCCTCTGAATGGATCACCGTGTTAAATCAAACCACCCCTGCTTCGTCCGTCTGTATAAGTGACAGCAGCCCTGAATGGGATTTGTTCACGAATCCAACTCCAAAAACACAGAGGTATTTAACCAATGCCCTGACACTTTTAGTTGCAACCAGATGGAAAGCATGACACGTCTGACACGTCTTATGACACAGCAGAAACGCAATAACATTTATTGCGATGGTAAACTAACAACTTGATGACAACTCACTGTTGGTCACTCTTACATCAGATTATTATGATATTAAAGTTTGAAGTCCTGCCATCATGAACAGGTGACCCAGTAACAGTTGCTCTTACACTTTGGTCCTCCATGTAAGGTGACATTCAGTTATGCAATGACATTTTATTTACAGAAATTAAGATACTTTTCTGAATATTTTGTTCCAACTTGTGATTTCATGTTATCTCAGTAACAGGACCTGAAAAAAATCCATATTACATCAATCTCAGCCGCACTGTCTGTGCAGTGCTAATAAGTAAACAAAAGCTTGAAGCTAAGATGGTAAATATGCTCGATGTCGCACAAGCTTAACAGTTGTATGAAACTGCCTTTCTAATCACAACTTTTAATACTACTTTTAGGATACATTTGTAACATTGCGTAAACATCTGGCACTTTTTAAATGAGTTACGGTTGTTTCTTTTGTCTGTTGACAGCTTCTAGTTCATCATAGAGCACTTTTTCTGGCTCACTGCTCCACATGAGTAGAAACTACTTATTGTAGAAGCAGTTTCCCTCCAAGTGTTCCCACATACGCAGCACAAAAAGGCTCCTGTATAGCTTTTTTCCCCCCCTCACTACAGCTCAACAGTGACATTTCAAGACTGAGAACCTCTCTATAGGCTACCAATACACTTCAGGAACAGATCTGTGAAATAGGTATTATCCGAGTTGAGTGACACCTACTTCAATTGGGTTTTATTGAACCATCCCTCACAAAGATGGATTCAAATACAGTTCAACCAGCTGCTGTCGTTCTTTGGAAAGTCACACGTATCAAACAGAGCCTGGCGTCTGTGCTTGTTCACACCCAGGATTTGTTTTCTTATGCCCCCAAATCCACTACAATAAATAAATGCCATTGCAAAACTGTGCTATTAAGGTTTCTTCATAGAAAGACCAGAATGTGACAAGCAAAGATGCAGACAGTTTCACAGATTTCCAGCTGGATTTCACAGAAAGAGTCATCCCCAAGGGATAAATTAATAACAAATAAATAAAAGTCAAGTCTAGTTGTCCAGCGAAACATCACCAGAAGCTATGTTCTTCAACATATATGACCGTTGAATAATTTTTCAAACTGAAATACAAACTAAACTCTAAATTTAATGTCAGCTCCCACTGGAAACAAAATTTACAAAAGATATAATGACAAACGGCTTTCTCAACACATTTACAGCAGCCTGTGAGTTTGACAGATCTTTTCCATGGGTCTGTTGCAATATTCTAACAAGAAACCATTTCTGATTTTTGTATCCTTTTTCTGTATAAAACCTCTCCAAGTACTTCAGAAACAAACCCCTTTATTTATATCAAAACTTAGCCAAAGGGATATGTTAATATGGATGTCCTTTATTTTTTATTTTTCATGGTCAGTTTGGACATCAGATACTACAGTTGTACAGTTAAAACAGTTTTAAAAGGACCAATACATTTTTTTTAAAAATCAGTCTGGGACCTTGGCTTTGGTACATATGCCATGTCTGGTTTTTAATGTCAAATGTCACTCACTCTATGAACAGAACGAACCGTTTTCAAGGTTTGAAAAAAGCAGCCATAACAAATTCGGAGTGTTCGCCCAGCTCAGCTATGGGTTAGTTTTGCCTGCATAGGACAGGCTACCGTTAACTATATTTTAGTCGGTCATAGGAAATACAGGAAAAACAAACCCAAGGAATACCATAACTAATTATATGCCGAAATATTCCCATAGCATATCCACTGGGATATTAGCTACCAGGGCCAGTGTAGCTAAGTTTTTTTTTTATTCAACGGCTCGCTAAGCTAGTAAATATATGGCTTACCCTGGGGGCCTAAATGCAACACGGTTTGAAAAGTTCTTTTATACATCTACTCGTTCTTAAAAGGAATACTTAGTAGGGACAGAGCCACCTTAACGTTGTCGATATTAAGCTAAGGTTAGCAGGAATATTAGCAGAATCTCGTACCGGATGGTGGCTCGCAGACACATTTGAACCTCAAGAACCATAAAACCCTTACCTTATAATAAACATCGAACTGTATATTTTCTGGGAGCGAGCGTATGTCCCTTCTTGACCGGCTATAGTTGTCAACCACAGCCGAGATAGCGGTGTTGTATAGCGTTTCTGGGATCCATTCGAGCTCCACCGCAGCCATGTTGTTTCTCCGAAAAACCCCAGCAGCTACAGCCCTCCCCAACTCTCCCCTACATTCGCTACCTTACTGCGATTAAAGCCCTTTCTCCTAGAGTCCTCATATAACATTCGCTTCGGATCGGGCCCACCAGCGGTAGTGTTGTCCACACCTTAGTGGCGCGATTCTAAAATCGATGTACAATGTCCATCCTTGCGCTTCATCTCGGATGAGTATTCGTCAACCCCACAGCATTTCCGTGCCCCCGTCCCGACGCACACATTTACAGGGACTGACGCAGTGACGTAATCTTGCATGGACGAAAACATATTTACATACTCAAGGCTGAAAAAAGCAGATTGCACACAGAGCTTCAGGTAAGCTAATAAGCGTGTGTTTTTTGGGGTATGTTTGTAACTCTAACTCTTTTTTCTGGTAATTCTTAAAACTTTTGGTCGTGTTCGGTGCCATATTTGTGTTGCAGGTATGAGTTGTCCTCACAGATGCAAACATAACAAAAAAAGAAGTTTGGGTTCATTACTGCCTGTAGTCCATAACTTACCCGTAAATATATTTTTGCCCCTTTCTTTTTGTGTCATGAACTGCTATAAAATGCTAGATTGTTGCAGCACAGCCCAGCCATTTATCCTTGCTTACACTGCGGGTACTGGGTTAGATATGATTGTATTCCCAGTCCATAACTAATTACTTATATTTGACAGGACCTTTTATGATTGGAATCTTGGGTTTCTTGTTTAGCAAATCCTCTCTCAGTGATGAAGTTGTTTTTCAGTCTTTCACTGAGGAAAGTTTCATATGTTCGTCTTCTGATGTTGTGAATACAAATCGGATATGCGTGTGGAAAAAAATCATAGTTAGGTGATATCTTCATGTAAAGACACTTATGTACTGTGAGTAATTTTATATCTGAAGCTTTTATTTAATTTGGTTGCAATTCTTACAACAGCTTTTATAAACTATCTTATTTATTTTTTTAATCGCTGCGGACTCTGGGCCTTCCATGAATTAAGCGGATTCATTTGAGAATTATTTGAAATGTGTTCTCTTCAGAAAGTGCTGTAACTCAATCAGAACATTGGTGCCTAAATTCCCGATCGACATGTTGGCAAAACATTGAATCCTGTTTTAAATGTGTAAACCAAAGACTATAAGAAAAGCTGTTCTGAGGCAAGGTAGACCAGAAGTACCGTATATTAACCTTTTATAAGTGGTAATGTCAAAAGGCCTCCTCAGCATTTTAGCAAATGATTTACAGAATCACATCTTATGTTCTTAATTGTATATGTAAGAACCCGTAGTGTATTTTACAAATTAATATTCAGTGTTCTCTTGGATTTACATCCATCTCCCTAGTGACACTCTTAAAGTTATACTATGGTGTTCCCAGGCAGAAGGGATACATATTCCCCAGGCAAGTTAAAGTTCATCTCCGGGGCCCTTCCCAGTTGGACATGCCTGGATAACCTCCACAGGGAAGTTACTAATAGGCATCTGAACCCATATGACTGTGGTATCCAAGGGTCAACCATGGGAAATTGGTTTTGGGAGAGGCTTCATAATAGGAGTTATTCAAAGACCTTGATGCAGCTGCACCTTGCCAACAAAAATTTAAATTGGGGACAGCCCAGATAGATAGATAGATAGATAGATAGATAGATAGATAGATAGATAGA